TTCCTTGTGTGCCCTGACCTAGGTTGGGATCAACAAGGGAGATGATGCTGGAGGAAAGTAATGAGACTCTACACCAATTTAATGTCTAGAGTCTGAGAAGCCTGGAGAGGCATACATTGTCTCATTACTGAGAGGCAGATTGAGGCAATGCAGCACTGATCCAGTCTCTGAGGGGCCTTTTATTGTGTTCAAAAAGAGGGAAAGCCTGGTTACCAGGAGGGTGGGATAATCTGGAGCATAGAATAAAGGAACTTTGGGAATGGTCTGATAACATATATTTTGAAAAGGGGAGGGAGTAAGCAGGCTTTATCACTGCAGGGCAAATGTCTTAACTTCCCTTATCTAAAGTGCTGATCAGGAGACCAAAGGTCTCAACCCGCCTGTTCTGCTGATCCCCCCATGGAGGGATGGTCATGTCGACATTCCCTGACTGGGCTGCCCCCAGGCTCCTCTGTTCTTTCTTTTGGTGATCTGGGAGGAGCTGCAGGGACTGCTGCGTACATACTTTACCCTGAATTGGGGGGCCATGAAGAGATTTGCCTATCTACCTCCCACATTTAGCCACCTAGGTACCATTTCTGGTGCTCTCTTTAATTGTGTAGCTTCACATTTCCATCTGGTATTATTTTCCTTCCTACTGAAGGATTTTTTTTTTTTTTAATTGTTTGAGATTCATTGAGGGTGCAAAGAATTAGGTTACACTGATTGCATTCCTTAGATAAAGTCCCACTTATAATTGTGTCCCACCCCCAAGAGGTGTGCCATGTACCGTGACCCCCATTGCTCTCCCTCCTTCCCTCTCCCTACTTGCTAATTCCCCTTTGTATTAGCTCATCTACTGCCTTCATATCAGAATAGAGCCCATTGGATTCTTGCTTCTCCATTCTTGTGATGCTTTACTAAGAAGAATGTGTTTTACCTCCATCCAGGTTAATATAAAAGGTGTAAAGCCTCCCCAATAATAAGTGTGGTGGATTTCTATTCATCTTATTTTGTGAAAGTCTGTTGTGTCATTTTATCCTTTGCACCACTGTGGAAGATAACTTTTGATCTTTATCTTCTGGGTGTTTGTTTTGCTGGTGCTTTGTTGTGGCAGTTAGTGTTGAGAATAGGTCTAAGTATTTGCCATAGAGCTGGTCTCCTTGCGGCAAATTTCCTCAGTGCTTGTTTACCTGCAAAAGATTTGATTTCTACGTCATATTTGAAGCTTAGTTTAGCAGGTTACAGAATTCTGGGCTGGAAATTGTTTTGTTTAAGAATATTGAAAAAAAAAAAAAAAAAAAGAATATTGAAGGTGGATGACCTTGTTCTTATGGCTTAGAAGTCTGTTGCCATCCTAATGTCTCTGCCCCTGTAGCTCAATTGGTGCTTACTACTGGTTGCTTTCAGAATTTTTTCTTTCATCTTGTCTTTGGACAGGTTCATTACAATGTGTCTTGGAGAGACTCTGTTCAAGGTGAGATGACCCAGGGTTTGATAGCCATCTTAAAGGATTGTGTAGGGTCTTTAATAAAATTAGGGAAGTTTTCATTTATGATAGTCTCCAGCAGGACTTCCTTTCCTTTGGGAGAATCTTCTTCCCCTTAAAGAATCCCTATTATTCCTATGTTTGAATGCTTCATGTAGTCTTGTAGTTCTCTGAGCACCTGTTCTGCTTTGTCTCTCTTCTTTTCTGTCTCTTTAACTACCTGGATTAACTGGAAAATTTTATCTTTTAGCTTTGAGGTTCTTTCTTCTCCATGGTCTACCCTATTTTTGATATCATCTATTGCATCTTTACCTTTACTGATTGTCTCCTCCATTTCCTTAGGTTCCACCATATTCTTTCTACATTCTACATATCTCTAGTATGACTTTTTTTTTTTTTTGAGACAGAGTCTCATTATGTTGCCCTCAGTAGAGTGCTGTGGCATCATAGCTGACAGCAATCTCAGATTCTTGGGCTTAAGCGATTCTCTTGCCTCAGTCTCCCAAGTAGCTGGGATGACAGGTGCCCACCACAACACCTAGCTATTTTTTTGGTTGTAGTTGTCAGGCCTGGGCTGGGTTTGAACCCACTAGCCCTGGTGTATGTGGCTGGCACCCTAGCTGCTGAGGTACAGGCGTTGAGCCTCTTGTACGACTTTTTGTTGTGTCTTTCCATTTTATCGTCCATTCTTTTTGCAGAATATCTTTTTTTTGTTGTTGAGCTTCTTGCATCTATTAATTTATAATTTTCTTAAAACTTAGAATATTTTTTTGCTTTTAAGGTGCCAAATATCTTTTCTGTCCTCTTTTTCTGTTCTTCTTTTTGGGGATTCTAATTATGCATACATTTAGACTAGATGAAGTTGTTTTACAGTTCCCAGATTTGATTTTCTAAAAATTTCTTTTTCTCACTGTTTTATTTGGGATAATTTATATTTTCAAGATCACCAATTTTTTTCCTACGTTGTCTAATTTTGTATTAATTCCTACTTGGTATGGTTTTTATATCTCTATAAATTCAGTATGAGTGTTTTTAAAAAATATCTTCTCTATTTAACTTTTTGGAGATATAAAATACTGTTATAGTACTTATTTTAATGTCCATGCTTTCCAGTTCTAACATCTGTACTAGCTTTGGGTCATTTTAAATTGATTTATCTGTAATTGTCAATAACGTTTTTCTGTTTCTTGCAATTACTTGGTAAGTTTTACAATTTTTTTTTATTAGCTTCCTGAGAGAGTCTATTTTACTTTGTAGCATACTGATACGCTTATATTCTTATAACTAACTGTTGTTGAGGTTAGGCCTGGGACAAACTAATTGGATAGTTTTATCTCTTTTGCTTAATGAGACCAGAGAAATGCACATTCTAGGGCTACTTATTCCCCACTATTGAGACAATATCTTTCTGATTATTTTATCCAATTTACTCAGAATTACAAAGTTTTCCAGTAAGCAGTATTTCTTGTCCTGTAGCAATAGTATGCACATTGCTTGTAATCTTTTCAGGTGATACTTTCCCTGCCTTTGGGTAGTTTCCTTTTATGAATGTGCTGATAAGTACTCAGCCAAGTATTTGCCCAGAACTCTTTATAGGTCTTCAGAGTTCTGTCTGTATGCAGCTTTCTATTCTTTGGTGTGCTGGCTTTTGAACTCTTAACTGCTTTGGTTTCTTTAAAATCTGAGTATTTATCCCAATTGAAGTATTCTGGTGGGCTTTACTTGAGATTTCTTTCCCTGTACCATTGCCTAGAAACTTTCTCAAGGCTGGAGCAGTCATACTCACCTCATCTGTTTTTTGTCTTTAAGGAATTGTTGTCCTTTGTTGTCTGATGTCTACTGCCTTGCAAACTGTTGTTTCATGTATTTTGTACATTTTGTGCTTGTTTTAGGTAGGATGGTAAATCCTTTCCCTATTACTCCATCTTGGATGGAAATGTAAGAATTTTTTTATTATCGTTCTTAGCAAAGTTCTGTGTTTTTTGAGACTCATTAATTCAAAATGTAGGGTATTTCCCTAAAGGCCTCACAGAGTGGCATTCACTCTGTGTATACTCAAAGTAGCCTACTGAATTGAAAGTACGTAGTGGCTGCATCTCAGACTGTCCTCAAAAACACGATTTGCCTATTCATTGTGTGTAAATCATCTCCCAGAGTCAGACACTCATTAGCCTGGGTCATGGATGCTGATTTATACTACTTGAATGCTAGCCTATTATAATGCAGTGATAAATATAACTGCCATGGGACTGACATTCATGTCTTATGTCTAGTGGAATCTTTCATATAGGTAAATTATACTCAAGCCAAATATTAGTGTTGAATTCTTGTGCAGTTTAAGATAGTCAGATGTATCTACCTCTGTTCAGTATGCTGTTTCCCTCATGCAGATTGTTCTTACATACACACAGGCAATATTTGCCTGTCTGACAAGCCCCATCTGGATTTCATACCTTCTTTAAATATCTAAAATAGATAAGATTAATACCTAAGATCATGTCTTGATGGCCAGACACCTGTCAGTATCCTTGACAGGACTCTTCATATCTGTTCTTGAATCCATTATTTGTTGATTATCACCTAACTTCAAGAGTTATCTTGTTTCCTGGACCTTGTCCAGGTCTTTTTTTTTTTTTTTTTTAGGGAAGCTATTTCACTGTTATTGCCATATACTATATATGTCTATTAGCCAATGTTTTTCAAAATGGTGTATCTTTGCTCTTCTGTATTTTCTTGATTTAGAAATATTAATTGCTTGGAAAATTAATTCTTAAAAGTTCTTTTTTACCTCCTCATTTTATATTCATTCCTTCATTATTTTTAAGAAGCATTTATTAAGTGTTGATCACGTTTCAAAGTTACAGGGATACCTTTGAGTAACTCTTATGTATAGGATACTCTGTCTATATTACTATAGTAACTAGTGTATATGTTCATTGATTTTTTAAAACTTTTATTTCTTATTTTCATTATGCTTATTACCTCCATATGCATTCCAAAAATGAGTTGTGTGCTAAGATTATCCTTTTTAAGTTGCAAAAGTAGGCAAAATACCACTAAAATGGTCATGTAGTTTTATAATGTATTTGCATATTGACATATTTTAATTTATCTTTCTCTAAAATTGTATGCACAATAATAATGGCTGTAGTTTTTACTGATTACTAAGTTTGACTTGCAAAGTAAACACAATAGCTGTTTTTAGAGATTTTTAGGAAAACAGATAATGTTTTGAGTAGTTTTGAATTACTGAATATCTAATATCATCTCATACTACTTGGAGCATTTAGAGTTATTGTAGTATTCTAAAAAGAATAAAATAAGGACATCGAGCAAAGTTTTGCTAGAGTCTATAAAATACTAGTAATATGGTTATAGCAAAAAAAAAAAGGCCATGCATGGAAGAGATTAGATGATCTTTATGATTTATGTAAAGCAGTTTATTAATTTGTATTAATATGAAAATGAAATGAGAATAAAATGAGATGTTCTATGTTTAGCAACCAACTTGATCTTGAGTTTTGCTTTGCAGGTTGATTGGACTCTAAATATTGGAGAGCAAGCCCTTGATATATGTATTGTCTCTTTCAATCAGTCAGCATCTTCTGTTTTTGTTCTTGGAGAGAGGAATTTTTTTTGCCTTAAGGATAATGGACAAATTCGATTTATGAAGAAGCTTGACTGTAGCCCGAGTTGTTTTCTCCCATATTGCTCAGGTGTGTAGAAAGATTTTCTTTTACTCTTCCATATGTCAAGGCTGTTATATACTTCAAAAAATGCTATACCTAAACATATATTTTAAACAATTAGAAAAATAGTTTTATACTGAATTTGTAATGGAAATTTTAACTTTCAAAATTTGAATAGAAATTTGATGTAAAGCAGATTTGGTTTTGTTAGTCATAGTATAAAATGACTTGTAAAATTGGTCTCCAGCATACATTAATGCTTCCCATAATGTTCAAGATGCTTCCAAGAGAACATTAGACACTTTTATAAGCAGAATAATAATGTCTGATAGAAAGACTGATCTGTAGTGAATGCCCTGTACATCATTAGCTTAAATGTGTTATATATTAATGAAATACATGCTTTCTAGATGAAATGCAGTAGTGTTGGCCATTGTCTAGTTACAGTTTCCAAGTCGGTAAAGTGAGTCCTTTCTTTTTGATATTGGTAGCTTTATGTTAGAAAATAATGTTTTATTGCTCAAAAATTTTATATAATAAAACCAAGATATTAGAATTAGTTTGTGTCATAAATCCCCCCAAAGGGATTTAATCTACTGATGCAAATGACTGTTTTCTTAGTATCCTCTTTCTGTATCTTCAACCTACAGTTTCTGAAGGAACAATAAATACTTTGATTGGAAACCATAATAACATGTTGCATGTTTATCAGGATGTGACACTTAAGTGGGCTACTCAACTTCCCCACATTCCTGTAGCAGTAAGAGTTGGCTGTTTGCAGTAAGTGATTTAATTTAAAACATTTTAATAGAGGATCTTAATCAAAGAATTCTCTAGAAATTTTATGACATAATGGCAAGTGATTTTACCAAAAAATGACAAATGGCATTGTAGTGTGAACGTCAATAATAGGCATAATTTAAAATATAACTTTTATTATTAAGCTATAAAAAGCATTAATTAGCACTATTTATTATTTTCATTTAGTATTTCTACTAAGATATGTGTCCTTAATAAATTAAAGATGAAACTTTTGATGATCTCAAGAAAATGATTTACTTAATAGATTATTTTCTTTAAAATTTAGAAATATTTCTGTTTTTGATGAGTCCCATTTAGGGATCATTTATTGATAGCCTGTGAGAATATTACCCTTGTTCATAATAAAAGGTCAAAACAAGTCTGACCTTGTTTTAGACTTTATTATGTGAAGTAATGCAGAATTGCTAATGATCATGTGTCTAAAAAGTTTAGATTTTAAATATGATTATTTTACATTTAAAATAAAATTCTTACCTTAACATTATATTTATAAAGTTTATTAAAAATGAGCCAAGACATCTAAAGGAGTAATTTTTCTAGGTCATCAGTATAAAAGACTAGATCCTTACAAATTTTTTAACATTTCAGATTATGTTTAGGAATTAAATATCTCAACAAATGGAGAAAACACAGCTTTCTATAAAACTTCATAGATTGCCAGATTTATTTAGTTCTGCTTATTTAGAATATTTTATTGCTCATTTAAAAACCGTATGTAAAAACTATAATGACTCTCTAATCTGACCTGCGTGAGTTGTCCTCTCACATTAAAGGATTGAGTGCATAGTATTATTGTTAAAGGTAAATGAAGGGCATTCATATTTGCATTAATACTTAAAATAAAGCTTGAATATTAGAAAAATAGAAACTTTTGAAAACAGTGTATGTTTTAAAAAGAAGTTGCTTCTTTATGTTTAATGAGAAAAAGCCATCATATAATTTTAATTGCTGTGCACTTAACGCAAGTTATACTTACTGTGTATCTGAAAAATAATTTAAAATGTTGAGATTGGCTTTGGCAATGTCCAACAGATGGCCTTTTTATTTCTACCAAACATTTAAACTCAACAGACATTTTGCATCAGATTTACTTAGGAGGATTTAGAACAGGAAAAACATCTTGCCAACAGGGCCACGTCAAGTGTTTCTCTCCTGGAAGAGTAATTCTTGTGGCAGTCCATATATCCATCCAAGAGCTGTTTCTTTGGCCCCCCTCAGTTGACCATTCAGGTGGAAGAAGAAAAATTTACCCTGGTGGTTACGCAGCCTGTCTTGGCTTATAATCTTCTTGCCCTTCAGGAGCCAATACCTTTAAATACTTAAAAATCATTGGGGTTTTTGTGTGTATTTTGAGCATAGTAGAATAATAGATAAAAACGCCTTATTGAGAACATTTAGTTCAAATACTTTTTTTACATATATATTATGTCTAGTGTTCTCATTTCATTTCGAAAGTCACTGTAGACAGGGAAGCGCAATGATGTGGCTTTTCATCAGATATTTATTGTGTAATTTTTAGTTTTTGTTCCAATGTGTCTTACAAGTTAAAGCCCCAATATTAACTGAAATTATTATGAGTGAAAAATGAAATTTACATGTAGTACGTATAATGATGCTATGTGCAAAGTAGCCTGTCACATTTTATTTTAGATACTTGTGAGTAAAGGTTCCTATACCTCATAGCTTTTTTAAGGTCACAGTTAAAAATAATTATTTTAATAAGTTCAAATATTAGCATGAGTATTTTCCACAATTAACATATAACAATAAATTCTGATTATTCATCTGAAGATTTTCTTATTTTTAATATAATTTAACCTAAAAAGATGGAATTAGACTGTGTTTGGAAGAATTTCATTGTAATTTTTATTAGAATTTTAAAAGTAATTATTACCAACTTAGGTATAGTATATTTACATCTAGAAGTTATTTGAAATTATAAGCACTGAAATAATTTTTCTCTTGTATTTTATTAGTTTTAGGGTTAAACCTTTTCAGTAGAAGCTTCCTTGCCTGAATGTGTTTATTTATAAAGGAAATTGCTGCTATTTTAATATGTTTCTTTTCAATGAATAAGAAATATTGAATTTGGATCAAGTTGATGCAATTATACTTAATAACAGCATTTTGCTCAGAAACTAAGATTCTTTATTTCCTCTCACTCCCACCTACTTGGCAGTCTTCATCCTTTTCACTTTGTTTATTATATACCAGTTCTAAATTTGTGTTTCCTTCTTCCTTTTCAGAGTAAATCTCATTCTTGCTTATATGGTGTCATTCTAATTTAATTTGGGGGATTTAAATTATGAGAATGTGAAGTAAGTATGCAGGTTTACAGAATCAGAAAAGCCTGACCATCATTTATCAGTAATAGTACTCTCTCTAGAGATAGCAAATATACCTAAAACTGGAAGTCTATTTGAATAAAAGTTGGAAGCAAGGAGAACCTTTCCTAACTTGAATTGGCAGCCAAAGCCATAGTGCTTTAAAATCTTATTGCAGCTCTTTTTCTAATGTAAACAATTTGGTCTGTTACTTGAGTGGTTTTCTTGCTAGGCTGTGTACAAAATAGAAACTTATTTTAACTTTGGTATTTACCATTTTGCTCTTTAGCTTTCATTGATACAGTATTCTTTTAAAGACATTTTCAGAATATTACAGGGGTATGCATGTTTTGGTCACATAATTTGTTTTGTACATTTCAGGTCAAAGTTATAATTGTGCCCTTTACTTTGAATGTGTGCGTCATACCCATAGGTGTGAATTAACCCAGCCTTACCACTTCCCTCCCTCCTACTGATTACTGTTGAGTTTGAGCTAGTGTTTTTTTTTTTTTTTTTCAGTTTTGGCTGGGGCTGGGTTTGAACCTGCCACGTCTGTTATCTCAGCCACAGACGCCGTCTGAGTTAGTGTTCTTGAACAGAATGCTTTTCTTGTTTCTTCTCTGGATCTTCAAATGTCTTCTATCTTTAGAAGCCTTCCTTCCTTATCATGGTCTCCTCGGAATTTCTGTCACGTTTTTAATTATGTTGTGACTGCGTTTGATGTTCCTAACTCCCCCACTAGATTATATACTCCTTTTCGACTTCCATGCATCACACTGAATAATCAGAAATTTGAACATATGGTATATGCTTGGTAAACATCCTTGTGGTTTGGGTGTATGTGTCAGGGGAAAGGGTATGGCTAGAAAGACCTTATTGGGTCTTTCAGTTGAAAAACATTTTTTAAGTATGAAAAAACTAAGACTTATAGAAGGAAAGATCCTATTTCTTTAAGAGCAAAGTTATTAGGAGAACATTTTTAATTTCGAAGTGATTTTTTTCTTACCTTTTTAGTTTAACTTTTGTTGCTAATTTGCCATCTGTGTGCATTATAGGAAGAGAATGTGAGCCTATACACTTTTTACTATTATGTAGTTTTAAAGATATTCTTTATGGCTTAATATGTTACATAGATTTGTAAATATTCCTAGAAATTGGGCAAAGTATAAATCCTGATTTTCAGAACCTTTGCATTTTTTGTTGATTTTTTCCTCTGTTACAGCTCAAGAGTAGAATGTAAGTCTTTCATTACTATGTTGTTCTGTCAGTTTTTTTGTTGAATAATCATTCTTACTCTGTTATTCAGTTTACATTTATAATAGTTATTTTTTTGGTGAGTTTTAAAAATTGATCTGTTCCTATTTAATGTTTTTTAGTGTTGTGCTGCTCTTTTCATTTGTTTGCTTTGAATTCAATCTGTTATTAGTTACTGGTATAGGGTTATGGATGCTTTTTCTTTTAAACTGTCACTTTATTTAGTGTGTGTCTCTTTGTAAAAAGAATTTGGTGGCTCGGCGCCTGTGGCTCAAGTAGCTAAGGCGCCAGCCACATACACCTAAGGTGGCAGGTTTGAATCCAGCCCGGGCCCGCCAAACAACAATGACAGCTACAACCAAAAAATAGCCAGGCATTGTGCAGACACCTGTAGTGGGAGGAGGCTGAGGCAGGAGAGTCGCTTGAGCCCAGGAGTTGGAGGTTGCTGTGAGCTGTGAGGTCACAGCACTCTACCCAGGGGGACAGCTTGAGGCTCTGTCTCAAAAAAAAAAAAATAAAGAATTTGGTTAGATTTTTCAACCCATTTAAAAGACCTTTGTCTTTTAATTAACACAATTACAGTAGTTTTAAGTGATATATTTGATTTTTCTTCATCTTTTTCAGTACTGTTCACTTCTTACATTATTTAACACAATTGTTCATCTCTTTATCCCTATAATCCTAGCACTCTGGGAGGCTTAGGCAGGTGTGTTGCCTGAGCACAGGAGTTTGAGAACAGCCTGTGCAAAGTAACACCCCATCTCTCCTAAAAATAGAAAAACTAGGTATTGTGGCTGGTACCTATAGTCCCAGCTACTGGGGAAGCTGAGACAAGAGGATCACTTGAGCCCAAGAGTTTGAGGTTGCTGTGAGCTATGACTCCATGGCACTCTACCCAGGGCGGCTGAGTAAGACTTTGCCTCCAAAAATAAATAAATAAAATTCATCTCTTATATGTGAATTGAGGTTTCTTTGTATTTATGTTGTTCAGTGTATTGGATGGTACACAGACATATATCTGTTATCTTTAAATCTATGAGTATATATTTATCAGTTTTGCCATAATCTTGTATGAATTAAACATTCCTCTCATGATAGACAAGGTGTTAGTTTTTATAACGTCCTTTCTTATTTTTCCACCGGGTCTGTCACCACCACACAAAGACGTGGGTGTATACATATGCTTGTGTTCAGACATAATCATTTCCTCGCTTCCATTCCCCTGCTACTGTTTGTTCTTTGCTATAGTGACATGGGATTTTAGATACAATTTATTATTAAATAAATTATGCTTATGCTTTTTCCAAGACTGTTTTAAAATTTACATTTATCTTTTCTCTAAACATAATATGTATATATTTATTGAAGATTACCAACTTT